ATGGAATTGTTCAAGTTAGTGATTTCATATTCTTCAGCTAGATACCCAAAAGTGGAATTTCAGGATCATTGGTAGGGCTATTTTTAGTTTTTTTGAGGAAGGTCAATGCTGTTTTCCAAAGTAGTTGCACCAATTTACATTTCCAAAAAAAGTACAGTGTTTCCTTTTCCTTCACACTCTTACCAACACTTCTTACTAGTTCTGATGTTAGCCATTTTCACAGGTGTGAAATGATATTTCATTATGGTTCTGAAGAGCCTTTCCTTTATAATAAGTAATGATGGTCATTGTTCATGTGCCTGTAGGCCAACTGTATGTCCTCTTTGGAGAAATGTCTATTCAGATATTAGGCCCATTTTTAAAATGAGTTGTTTGGTTTTTGTTGTTGAGTTGCATGAGTTCTTTTTATACATTGTTGGATGTCTGATGTGCAAATATCTTCTCCAGTTCAGCAGGCTGCATCTTCATTCTAACATTTTCTTTTGCTGTGCAGGTTTTTTAGTTTGATGTAGTTTCAATTGTTTATTTTTTTTTTAAGATTTATTTGTGCAAACAAGAGCTGGGGTGTAGACCAGCGGAATGTGTGTGTGGGGGGAGGGGTGACAGGATTCACTAGAGACAGAGTGAGGAGCAGAACAGGCTGACTGACTGAAATACACTGCTGAGAGGAGCAGCAGGTGAGACAGTAGAGGTCTGCTGAGCCACATGGGTCTGCTCCCTGGCCAGGGATCAAACTCGTGTTGCAGGGGCTGCTGATACCTTCATAGTACTGAGACATAACCCCTTGCACCACCAGGAAGGCCCCTCAATTGTTTATTTTGCTATTATTTCCCTTTCCATTGGCAATGAGTCCTCAAAGACATAGTCAAGACACTGATATCATGGGATGCACTAACAATGTTTTTGTCGACATACGTATTTTTGGTTGTGGGTCTTATATCCATGTGTTTAATCCATTTTGAATATATTTTTGTGTGTGGAGTTAAAGAATGATCCAGTTTTATTCTTTTGCAAGTAGTGTCCGGTTTTTAACATCATTTGTTGAAGAGATTTTTCCTTTCTTTGTTGTATGTCATGGCTCCTTTGTCGTAGATTATTGATATATGTGTGGGTTAATTTCTGTGCTCCAGATTCTACTGCATTGATTTGTGTGTCTATTTTTATGCCATTATCATACTGTTTTAATTACTGTCATTTTGTAATATAAAGTTGGGTAACAGGATGTCTCCATTTTTCATCTTTTTTTTTTATGATTGCTTTAGTCTTGGGGTCATTTGTGGTTCCACATAAATTTTAGTGTTTTTTGTTCTATGTCCTTAAAAATATCAGTGGAATTTTGATAGATTGTATTGAATCTGCTTATCGTTTGTGGTAAGATGGTGTTTTGAGTGTTAATTCTCTCCATCTATGAACACAGAATATCTTTCCATCTCTTTGTGTCTTGTTCTATATTTTTTAATAGTGTCTTGTAGTTTTTGTTGTATAGCTCTTTCACTTCTTTTGTTATATTCTAGGCATTGGTTCTTTTTTTTTTTTAAAGATTTATTTATTTATTTATACAAGCACTGGGTACAGTCAGAAGCGCAGGAGGGTGTATTCATCAGAGCCAGAGGGGAGAGCAGAGCAGACAGACTGAAGAAATACACTGCTGAGGGGACGAGACAGGAGAGTTCTGCTTTGCCATGCGGGATTCTCGCTGGCCAGCCAGCTGGGATCGAACCTGTGCTGCAGAGACTGTGGACAGCTTCACAGCGTTGTGCTCAACCTCCTGCGCCACTAGGGGAGGCCCTCAAGCTCATTGTAATGGTCTATAGATTTGTTCTCTCTTCCCTCTAATACACATTGTCTATTTTTGGTGTCTTGCTGCTTTTAAATGGGATTTCTTTTCATTTTATAGGAGTCCCTTTAGTATTTCTTACAAGGCTAGTTTAGTGGTGATGAATTCTTAATTTTGTCTGTAAGGCTCTTTATTCCCACCCCACCCCACTCCCCTTTAAATTCTGAGTGATAGTCTAACAGGGTAGAGTATTCTTGGTTAACTATTCCTTTCTTTCAGCACTTTAAGGACATTGTGCCAATCCCTTTTCAACTGTGTTTTCCACTTAGAAATCTGCAGTGAATTTTATAGGTGTTCCCTTGTATGTGGTTCATTTTTCTTTAGATGCTTTTAGTATTCCATCCTTATCTTTAGTTTTTCCAATTTTAATTACTATACATCTTGATATATGCCTGTTTGGATATCTTGGAACCTCTTGGATCTGGAAATCTGTTTCTTTCCTCAAGTTAGGGAAATTCTTGCTTATTATTTCTTCAAATAAGGTTTCAACCCCTTTCTCTTTCTTCTGGAATATTTCAATGCAGATGCCATTCTTGATATTACCCCATAAGGTTATTATGGGTTATTTTTTTTGGGGGGGGCTGGTCTGTTTGGGGTTTTCCACTGTATTCCAGCTTACTGATTCTATCGGGTGCTCCTTGTAGACTGTTGAGTTCCTCTATTATATTTTTTAGTTCTGCTTTTGTGTTCTTTAGCTCTGTCATTTTCTGAAATTTCTATAGTTTTTCTATTTCTGAAGTTCTTATTTTGTTTGTTGATTATTTTCCTAATTTCAATAAGCATCATTAGGACTGCTACCTTAACCTCTTCTTCAGGTAAGTTACAGTTTTGTTGCATTTAGATTTTCCCCCAGGGTCGTTTTGTTTCATCATTTATGGTATATTTCCCTGTCTCTTCATTTTGTTTGAAGCTATGTTAATTCTTATTAAAACCAAATAACTTTCTTTCCTTAACTTTTTTTTTTTAATTTTTTTTTTTTTAGAGGCATGTTTTATTTGTTTGTTTATACATTCACTGGGTACAGTCAGAAGCCCGGGAGGGTGAGAGAACTCACCAGAGCCAGAGCGGGGAGCAGAGCAGGCAGAAGGACCAAAGTACACTGCAGAGAGGAGCAGCGGGCGGCAGGAGAGGTCTGCGCGCCATGTGGGACCCTCCTCCGGTGGCCGGGGAGCAGCCGGGGATCGAACCGGTGCCTCAGAGGCCGCGGGCAGCCTCGCAACCCAGCGCTCAACCGCTGCGCCACCGGGGAGGCCCTTCTTTCCTTAACTTGATGTGTTGGCCTGCATCTGTTTGGATGACTGGAGCTCTAGTGCCACACAGGGTAAAGGTAGGGGCCTGGAACTGAGGGATCAACAACTCTTGTCTCACCCAATGTTCCCCCTCAGCAGTGTATTTCACCAAACCTGTGGTCCAGCTTTATTCTGCTAGTTTGTTTTTTTAAAGATTTATTTATTTATGCATACAAGAACTGGGGTGTAGGCCAGAGGTGTGGGGTGAGGGTGAGAGGGTTCACCAGAGACAGAGTAGGAAGCAGAACAGGCAGGTTTAGTGAAATACACTGTTGAGGGGGAACATCAGGTGAGAAAAGAAGAGGTCTGCTGTGCCATGTTAGTTAATTCCCTGGCCAGGGATTGAACTCATGCTGCAATGGATGGCGATGTGTGATAGCACTGAGACTTAAGCCCTTGCGCCATCAGGGAGGGCCTAGTCTGCTGGTTCTGACCAGTGTTCTTCCTAGTATGCAGGAAGGAGCAGGGCGATCTGGGAGCCATGTGTTGGAATGCAGACAGGCTAAAGTCTCAATAGCAGTCACAGGTGGATGAGGGGCAGGTGTTTCTCAGAGTCTGTGGGTGCTGTCCATAAAAGATTGCTTCCTTTGTAGACCTCTTTCAGTTCTCTCTTGAGGTCTGTGGTCCCAGGGGCAAACTACAGCTGTGACACTATCACAGCTGTTGCCAGAACATCCCCTCTATCAGGGTAGCTGGAAGGTTTCAGTTGGGGCTAGAGGCAGCAAGCACCATAGGTGAATGTAACCCCACAGGTGGCCGCAGGCAGGAGCGATAAAACACAGAAGTCAGTTGTAGAGAGTAGCCACTTTTGTGGAGAATCACAGGTGGAGCCCCTTCAGCTCCCACCAATTGCCACCACCGACTGGATATTCCCCCAGAGGCTCAAACTCCGGTGGCCTGCACCCAGGTGTTATAGACTCCAGTTGATAGTCATTACTTAGGACAAGCAAGGTGCAGGTAGTTTTAAGGTTTGTCTGACAACCTCAGGAGCTCCTAATATGCAGCACTGGGGAGTGTGTCACCCTCTAGACCCTGGCTCCTTGATTAATTTCTAGTAGTATGGCATCCTGTCTTGCTGGCATCTGCTGAGCATATAGCTCCAAGTGTCCCACTGTTCTTCAGAGGAAGGTCCCTTCATTTACCACACCAGGTGTGTATGCTTCCCTCTCTAATGCAACCCCCAGGTACTAGGGTCTCCCATGTAGCTGCGAGGCCTTCAGTCACCAAAAATAACCAACCAGCCAAACAAAAACCAATTTCTCAGCAGTCCCTCCCTCTCTTGGGTTGTGGACTCCCGTGGAGTTCCAGGCAAAATTATGTAAGAACTTTTCTTACCCTCTCTGACATTTTCTTTCGCTTTTCCTTGTGAAAATGTTAATCCTCCTGTTGTCCGCACTTTTTCAGGGATTGTTGTTTCTCTATGTATGGTTTGTTAAACATGCGGGAAGGAGGTGAGCTCCGGGTCTTTACTATTCAGCCATCTTGCTGGAACGCCCCACTCTGATCTTTCATGCTGATAAAATATTTCCTTCTTTTAAAAAAAAAGTTACGGGAAAACTATACCTCCTCAGCTGGGAAACTACACCTACTCTAACTTTAGAGTTAAAAAAAAAAAGTGAATGATTAACCTCCCTCTCCTGGCGGTTTTCTCCCTACCAGTGCAGAGGTCTTGCCACCGGGAGCGAGCGGGTCAGCGGCTCTTTGCAGGCTGGCGGGGAGCAGGACTACAGGATCCAGAGGTCTTTGGAAACGCAGCAGCTCCAAGCTTGTTGGCTACTAGGCTTTCCCTGAGGAGGGACGCTGGGAAAACAAACCCTGATTGGTCAGGCCTGAGCTGAATTCTCCATTTAAGGACAGATTGCCCGGCCCGAGCTGAGGCTCAGCCAGAGGAATAAGTGGCCGAAGAAAACAGGAGCGGAGCAGAGCAGCCGGGCAGACGCGGCGAGCCTCTGACTGTTCCAAGCGCAGGGGGAGCGCCGGGTCCGGGGGGACCCCTGCCGGCCGCAGTATGCGCCCCGCCTGCTAGGTCGCCTCCTCTAGCCCTCACCTAGCGCCGCCGATCCCGCCTGGATGGGGTGCCCCCCGGGTTCCCATTGGCTCCTGTGAGTGCTTGGGTGTCGAGAGCCTGTTTTTGGCGAGGGGAACCAACTTTTGAAGTGCGCCCCGGAGACTGCGTTCCAGCCCCGGCTCTCCCAAGCCCGACCCCGCGGAGGCGCGACCCGGCGCGAGTCACCATGGTGAGTCCCGGGCGCCAGGGCGCCCGAGCCGGGGATGGGGCAGGAAGCCGCGCGCGGGGCACCCACCTTGGGCACGCTGGGGAGGCCGGGAGTGGAGAAGGTGGACGCGGGGTTCGGCACGTCGCGAGCTCTGCTTTCCTTTCCGCACGCCCCGGCTGGGGGAGAGGGCGTGAGGGGCCAAGGAAAACTTTTTCAAGTCGCTTTCGGCTTCGCGAAACTTTCTGTGGTTTGGGTTGCTATGGCTGCCAGCTGTCGCAAGCCGGAGTGTGGGTACGTCTGGGTTCAGGGGCACGGCCCGGGAGGGGACGCTTCTCCTCCTGCTGGGAAGGTGGGGGCAGCCGCCTGTGCCCCGCTGGTCCTCGGGGCCGGGGGAGGATGGCCGGCGGGTTGGCGCGGGAGCCGGCTCGCCGCGCCCCTCCCCTGCCCGCCGCTCCCCTCCCCGCCGGAGGGCACCAGCGCCCGCGGGCTCCGGCTCGCTCCCGGGGCGGGTCGGCCTCCTGGCCAGCGCCCGCAGCTGTCCCGTCTGGAACCCGCATGCAGGCGGGGGCGGTGCTGGCCGCACAAAGGCCGGCGGGGGCTCCAGGTAGCGCGAGCACCTGGCGGTGCAGGCTGCAGGGAGCGAAAGTGACCCGGCGCGCCCTGGCGCCACGCTGGCCTAGACCTGGCGCGGGCTGGTGGGGTCTTTGCGAGGAAAAGGCCGAGTAAACACCCCCACCCCCACCCCTCCCCAAGTGCGAGGTGTACACTGAGCGGCTCGCACGGGAGGAAGTCAAGTTTTTTGTTCTTTTTCCTTTGGCATTTTGGGAATATGTGGAAGTGGCTGGCTTTTGCTGGGACTCTTGTCTGACTTTTCCTCCACCCCAAGGCCCCCGCCCCAGCACCCCTGCCCCTAATAACCTTAGCCGCATCCCTTGGGCTTTGGTGTGGTGTGCTTTTCTTGCCGAGGCACGAAAGCAAGGACTCTATTTTGAAGACATTGGCAGTCTCATCAGAAAAAAAGTTCTATTAAAAGGCTTCATAGTTTCCACACTTGTTTCTTTCACCAGTCCTGCTTAGGTGGATGCACTGGTCTTCCTCTGCTTGATTTGGTGGCTTCTAAGGACTGTGAAAGTGGAGCTAGGTCGCGGCGATAACTATTACTGCCCTGATCTAGAATTCTTTATCCCACATGGCCAGCCCGAGGAAAACGGAGCAAAGGCCCATCCCAACCAGGATACAAAATTTAAAAAGCCACCCTTGCTCCACTGCTGTGTTTAGTCAAAACAATACAAGCAAACAAAACACCTTCAAAGGGCATCCTGGACCAGAGGTTTTCCTTTTTGAATAGTCCCAAATTATGTCACCTTTGCCACTAAAAGGACGCTCTATCTGTAAATTTCCTCTTTCAGTTTTAGGGTTTAAGAAGTCATCTGCCCACATTATTTTTGGAACCTCTGTAGAGAACCATTTTCTTATGCTGAGTGTGTTTGGGTGGAGCTACCTAACTGGGCCACTGCCTAATTGGCCACTTGAAGTTAGGCAATGTGATAGTCCTAGCATTTTAAATTGCTGTAATTATTTTCTGTGGTTTGATATTTCTGAAGAAAAAAAAAAATCAACGCATTTGTAAGAAGAGCTTAACGAATCTTACTGAGTTTAAACATTTGAGTGGTATTTGAAGAAAGTTAACTTCTCTTAGCTAAGCTCATTTTTCATGCTGGACAGACTAAAAAGTAGTCTAGGACGCCTTTTATTTTTTTCCTGTGAGAAATCAAAAATTCCATGCTCAATTCAGCCCTGTAGCCGCTGGCTGGTCATAAATGGGAGCAGGGGGGCGTGCCCTATGAAAGAGTGGTTTCCAGAGCTGCCTAGTGTGTCATTGGAGGCCAGGCTGTGACTTACCTATTGATGGGTTCACTGCCAGGGGAACAGATGGCCATGTTGTGGGCCGCCGGGAGACTCAAGAGTGTCTAATGCTGTTGCTGAGGCCATAGTTGCCTGCAGAAAAGTTGAAACAGCTGGCTCTCCTGAAATAAGAGATGTGCTGGATCTACAGCCTTTTGGCAAAAATGAAAATTATCATTTCTTCATTGACTTCAAACATTATCCATTAGATATGTGAAGTTGCCTTCGAGCAACTTGCCTTCTCATTTTAATTTTTTTTTTAAATAATTAAGGCTTTTGTTTTTTATTTAAGATTTATTTATTTATTTATACAAGCACTGGGTACAGTCAGAAGTGTGGGAGGGTGAGAGAATTCACCAGAGTCAGAGTGGGCATCAGAACAGGCAGAAGAACTGAAGTACACTGCTGAGGGGAGCAGCGGGCAGCAGGAGGGGTCTGTGTGCCATGTGGGACCCTCGCCCAGTGGCCGGGGATTGAACCGGCACTGCAGAGGCTGCGGGCAGCTTCGCAACCCAGCGCTCAACCACTGCGCCACCGGGGAGGCCCACCTTCTCATTTTAATTAATGAGAACCTCAGTTACCTATGTTTATGTAAGACCCCTTCAAGCTAACCAAGGCTGCATTTTGTGGCCCACATTGCCCTCGTCAGCCCAGCTGCATCGTTCTGCTGCTTAGAACAGGAAGAGAAGGGGCATTGCCTTCAGTGGCTGAGGCTGAGTTAACAGGACAACATAGTTCATCAGACCCTTGACTGAACTCTATGGAGAACACCTGTACTGGGATTCCTCCCCTCCCCCTCCCCCATCTCTGGTATGAGATCTGTTCAGAAGTTGGCAGCTTATCAGGAAGTCTCTCCACCTGTACCCCAGGCCATACTAAGACTCACTCAGTTGTGACTCATGAGAAAGATTCCCATTTTCTGACTCATGAATACGAAGTACAGTATAGTTCACCTAATATCTTCCTCCTGAAGACACACTCTGGGGTACTTTTCTCCATCTTTTTTTTTTTTTTTTTCTGTGTGGGACCCTCGAATGAACCGTTGCTGCAGAGGCTGTGGGCAGCCTCGCAGCCCCAGCGCTCAACCACTGCGCCACCAGGGGAGGCCCATTTTCTCCATCTTTGGAAAACCAAGAACACTAACTGGCAGGCAGTAGTAATTTTTATCTTTTTCCTTAGGAGACATGAATAACTGGGGAAAAAATCTGCACATCTTTATACTTTAGTGTACCTTGGTTAGGAGGGCATATAATTTCCTTTGGTTTTAATAATACATACCTAAGGTTTTCTTAATAGAATCTGACTTTATTATCATCCACAAAATAGGTTTTCCTTTGGTGGCCAAGTCCAGTTTGGATTGTCTAATGGACTGGAATTCCTTTCTATAGCTCTGATTTATATTTTGGGCCCAGAATTAGGATGCATTCATTTCTGTGACTTAGGTATTCTGATATACTTAAATAATATGATTTGGCCATCCCCTCAGAATATGTTCCAAATGATATTCTTTTTTTTCCTTATTTGCATATTACTTGTAAGTCAATTGCAGATATTACACAGATAATTACATAGGAGTGGATTTATGAACTTGGAAATCAGAGGGCTAACTGGCTGCAAGTTTCCTAAGTGCATGGTATATAGAATCTGGAATCCACTTCAGATGTTTTCAGGGAAGGTAAATGAGTCTATTCCTGTTGATTAGTTTATCAGATTGCTAGTAGTGTCCTGGCCCAAACAGCACAATACAAAACCAAAACAGAAAGGAAGGGGATACAAAGTACACAAAAGTTTTCACAGAGACAGAGGGGTGAGGGCAAGAGCAGGCGTCCAGAACATTATCTAGGGGGCAGAGGGGGCTGGCCTGCCTAGTGGGAAATATTCGACTAGCCCAGGGCAAGGAGGGAAGCCCAGAGGGGCAGTGAATGGAGAGGGATAGAGAAGTGAAGGAAGCAGACAGTTCCAGAAACTGAAAGCCACTTCTTTCAGTTTTCCTGGGGATTTTCGCCATTTCAATGTTTGTAAACTCAAATATCTGGAAAGGTCGTGATGCAATTTTTGATAGAGTGAGACAGTGGCATTACTTGGCCCTTGGCCTATGGGTACATCAAGCCTATTACCAAATTTTCTTATTTTTCAAGAAGAAAATGGAAATTAGGTTTTTATGTCCAATCAGCCAATTTTTTTAAGTGTTCTGGTCATTGAGGAGAAGCTGAACAAACACCTGTAGGTCAGCTGCTTGCAGCACTGCTGTAATTCTCAAAGTGGCATCTTGTGAATTACAGTACTTCCTTCCAGGACCTGTCTAACCTTTAGCCACATAAACAGGAGTGGTGCTAGATTTTCACTGATACACCCTCACCTTTCCCTTAAGAGAGGGAGTTACCTGGTACTTTCAGCCCATGGAATCTCTAAGCTGTTAAGCAGAGGAAGTCTGCATCCAGCTGCTACTATTCAGAGTACCTAAATACCAGTGTAGATCTCTGAGTAGTGAGGCTATAAATTCTCTTAACTCTTAAATTTTCTCCTTCAGTGAACTTGCTTGCCTCCCAGCCCAATATTGCATTGGACTTCTTTTATTTATCCTTTCTCAGCTGAATCTCTTGAATTCGAGATCTGTTTCAGGGATTGTTGTTTTTGGGGCCCTATAATGAGCAACAGTCAACATTTTGGTGACTATGACTTGGAATTTAGTTTTTTGCTTGTATACTTAGTGTCATGTGATCATGTGTGACCAAATGAAAGGGAGAACATGTAGTACTTTGCATTTCCTGATGAGGAAAGGATTGGCTTTCTTTATTTGGTAAGAACTTGTAAAGGCTCTTTTTCATCAGCTTGAAAAAGACCTATTTTCAAACCTCTACACAAATGCAAGGTATTATAACTTCATAATGGGATATATAGAAATTATGTACAGTCATGATTTTCCAACTTTAAGCTATCTTACTTTTTTTTTTTTTTTTTTAGAAAAGATTTATTTAGGGCCTCCCCAGTGGCGCAGCGGTTGAGCACTGGGTTGCGAAGCTGCCCGCATCCTCTGCAGCGCCGGTTCAATCCCCGGCTGCTCCCCGGCCACCGGAGGAGGGTCCCACATGGCTCGCAAACCTCTCCTGCCGCCC